TTTATATTGTTATAAATAGAAAAAAAATTATTTAATTTTTTATATTATTTTATTTCAACCAAATATAAGTTATTCACCCAAATCTAGCTTTAAGTATGAATTTTTTCAGAATTTCTGTAATAGAAAGGAAATTTAAACTTAATTTTTACAAAAAAGATAAATTAATGTACATATTATGAAATCAAATAATCAAGTAAAAAATATTTATATATATTTTTTTAATACCATAAATCTTTTATACTTAAATACTTACTTTATGAATAAATATGTGTATCATCTACTAAAAGATTTGTATTTTTAAATATGTTTTCAATTTAGTCCCTCAACGCCTCAATTGTTCAATTTGGTCCCTATACTATACAAATTTGTTCAATTTAATCACTATGACGTGGAACAGTTTTTTTTTTAATTTTTATCTTGATCTATTGTGTTAGCATTGACACACTGCACTGCATTGACATATCAGTGTCGCATCACCATTACCACGTGGCACTACCACGTCATTAGGTTGGTGTCACGGGGTACTACCACTCCATTATGTAGGTGTCATGCCACCAAAAGTGCCATGTCAACGTTGCTGTCGGTGCTATAACGACAACATTGGATGCTATTAGAGAAAGAGAGGCTAAATTTAAGCAATTCTCGAAATCAAATGACTAAGTTGTTTCGACACCCAAGCATTTGGCTCATTAGTTGGTGCATTATCCCTTTACTTAAAAAGCAGGGTTCAAATTTTCTCTCCCCCAAATTTAAAAAAAAATGACTAAATTGTTTCGATTTTGAGTACATGGATGAAATTAAATAAAATGCATGAATATAGAGACTTGATGGGTATTTTGACCATTAATTATTATAAGAGAATAACTATTTCTTAGTTCATTTGCCAATCAAACGGGGAAAGAAATAATACATAAGAATAGAGAGTGAATAGCTTAACTATGTCCCATACCAAATAAGCTATATTAAGGTATGTAACAATCCTCTGACCTTGTTTGTGGAATCTAAAATCTCCTTTAACTCCCTCGAGTAATAGATGATAATCCTAGATTAAAACCATTGTTACTTATTTTTCCTGTTTCTAAAATTCTCACCCAAAATTTTTTGCGAATACCATGAACACTAAGAACTTAATTATACCTTACGAAAGTTGTCATATATAAATCATATAGCAGTAGAGCTGTCAATATGGGCCGGCTTGGCTTAGCCCGGCCCCAACTCTTATGGGTTGAGAAAATATGGGTTGGACTGGGCCAGTCTATTTTTTATATGACTCATTAAAACTTCAACCCACCCCTTATTAGCCCATGAGTTGGATTGGACCAGTCCATTTTTATTTTTTTCAAAAAAAATTAATTTTTATAATTCTACTTGATAAATTTTTATTAATAAAATTATTTTATAATTTAATTTATAAATTGAATAATAAAAATATGTTACAAATAAACAAATTACACCAAATATAAAAAATAAATAAATTGCATAATAAAGTTTAAATCTTTAACACATACTACTATTTCATAAATATAAGTATATAACCAAATAATAAAAATTTTAAGACTCATTTATATCTTTCTCAATCCTCATTCTCAAGTAAAACATTTAAATTTTGTTTAAACAGCAATGATGCCTTAAGGTCTGAATCATTATCAATTTATAATCTAATATTCATTACCATAAAAG